TAGTACCTAGACTTTGAACTGCCTTTTGTGCTTCTTTCCTTTTGTTTGAAATAGTTGATTCTTGTCTGAGTCCTTCCTGAAGGATTCAGAGAGTTTCCAAAACTTAGTTTTAAGAGGACTTGGAAAACAAGATGTCTCATGGCTGAGAATTCCTTGGGCAAATGATTCTGTCAAACAACTCCAGATAGGAGGTTTTGACTTGCTAAGAGGTGTAAACTGTATAACAATAAAGAAGGATTTTTTGCAAAGCTGTGGGCAACCATTTCACCAGAAGCTGAGTCCGCTGCTGATTGCTAAGCCAAAATTCATCTTGGAGTGATCCTTTTCTTCAACAAACCCACAAAAAACAGAACACCAACAAATGGCCGGGAAGTTTATTTTGAGGAGAAAGCATTTGAAAATTGACTATGGTGATGATAGGCATATCCATATACACAATATACAAAACACTTATACTTGCATATTAAGTGGGTGAGTTGTGCATTATGTGATTTGTAGCTTATAAAAAGCCATCAAACACAATGATTAAGTTGCACAAAACAGGCACAGAGCCCTTATCTGTGTTATGACATGGACGGTGCCACTCCAAAAAAAAAAAGGCTGACTGAGAGGCCCACAAGATCCTCAGTGTGATAACTGATAGTTCTTGTGCATGTCCACTTAGGTGTGGTACTAAGCATGTGAGGCACCTCAGTCAAAATGCTCTTGCAATGGTAACATGGAAATATGATTGACCTTTACATCTGTAGACTTCCTGACTATGGGTACCTCAGCCCAGTCTGTTGAGGGCCTTGTAAGCAAAGACTGAGGAACGTTGAAATGAGATTCACATCTGCACACTGCAACCTAGACAGTCTGTGCTTCTAGCCTGTGGGTTGAAGAATTTGAACTCACAGCTGCCTTGTCAGACCAGACCTAAACCCAAGCCTGATGCCCTGGTCCACAGGTTTAAAAAGAGCCAGACCTATCAGAGCCAATTCTTTTTTTTTCTTTCTTTTTGATTTGGAGACAGGGTTTCTCTGTGTAACTCTGGCTGTCCTGGAACTTGTTCTGTAGACAAAGTTGACCTCCAACTCACAGAGATCCGCCTTCCTCTGTCTCCCAAGTGCTAGAATTAAAGCCATGTACCACCTCCACCTTCAGAGGCGATTCTTTCAGGCAAATCTCTCCATCTATCTCGCTGGTTCTCTCTGCCTCTCTCTGCCATACTCTGTAGCTGTGCTGGTGTGCATGCATTGGCACTATTCCTGAGCACTTTAGACGTGAAGAGAACCCACACCCAAATAGGACCACATGCATGCACACATATACATAAAATATAAATGTAATAGAAATTTGAAAATTAGTGGCGACTGCCAGGGGTTAGCTATGGGTAACATCTTGTCACCTCACTGAAAGCAGGTGGTGTGGGAGAGACAAGCCAGGAATTTGTCAGTTCCAATTCTCTTAGTGCCCTTCCCTAGGGTTCTGAGCTCCTCTTCTAACCTCTCAGATTTTCAACGGTCTTTTGGTGCACTTCCGTTGAGCTCCGACTCTGTTTTGGTTTGAACCTTCCCACAAGGTTCCGACCTTCTTTGGTGCAGTTCCATCAGGATTCTGCCTCTCTTGGTGCTTTTTCCTTACGGTTCTAACACCTCACTACTCCATCTTTCTTTTGTTCACTGTGCTCCACAGCACTCCATCCCTGTCTTGGTGTGCTTCTCTCTAGTCTTCAACTGTTTGTTGGTGCCTTTCTATCAAAGTTCAGAACCTTTTGGTGAACTTCCCCTCGGGGATGGACCCTCTCTTGAAGTGCTTCCCTCTAGGCTGCGACCCTCTCTTATACTTCCTTGAGGGTTCTGACCCACTTCAGGGGCCCCACATTGAGGCGCTCCTTTTCTTTGCCGGTCCCTCAGGACTATGAATCTCTTCAGGCACTCCTCTCTTGAGACTTGGACTCTTCTTTTGTGCCCGTATTTCAGGGATTTACCTCTCTTGACACCCGTCCCTCAGTTTTCAGAGCCTCTCTGGGCGTCCTCCCTTGAGAAGATTGGAGCTTTGAAGGAAGAGCACAGAGAGTCGGAACCATGAGGGAAGAGCACCAAAGCAGGGTCAGAGGTCTAACGGAAGTGCACCAAAAGACCGTTGGCGATCTGAGGGATTAGAAGAGGGACTCAGAACCCTGAGGGAAGGGCACCAAGAGAGCTAGAAATCTGAAGGAGAGGCGCCAAGTCAAAGTTAGAGCCCTGAGGTAGGAGCATCAAGAGAGGTCTTAAGAGAGAGACTTAAAAGAAGTGCCCAAAGAGATGATTGGAACTCAGAGGCAAGGTTGACAAAGGAAGATCTGAACCCTGAGGAAAGGGAGCCAGGTACCCTGAAGGAGGGACATCAGAAGATGGTTAGAGCCTTGAGTGAGGAATGTGCCAATGGAGACTGGGGTTGGGGGCCGAGAAAGAGGCACCAAGACAAAGGTGGATCCCGTGGGGAGGGGCTCCAGAAAAGGTTTTAGGTCCTCCAGGGGGCAACCCCAGAGAGTTGAAGCCCTAAAAGAAGAGCTCCAAAGACTTTTGTAGGCCCGAGGAAGGGCATTAAGAGAGGTTGAGAGAGAGTTGGAGCTTTTAAGGAAGTGCATCAAGACATTGTAAGAGCCCTGAGGGATAAAGAGAGAGCCTTGATAGAGGGTCCCAAATAACAGCGTTCTGAGGGGTCAGAAGAGAGGGTCAGAACCCCGAGGGAAGTGTATCAAAGGAGTCCAGCCTTAAAGAAAGGACTCCAAAGACTGAAGAATCCCAAGAGTGGGTCAAAGTCTTGAGAGAGGGGTGCTTAGAGATCCTCAGTGCCATGAGGGAGCAGGAGCTATGCCAAGAAAGGGAGAGACTTAAAGGTAGGACCCCCATGACAGTCAGATTCCTGAGGGAGGAACTGCAAGAGAAGATCAGAGCCTTGAGAGAGTTTTGAAAACTTTTGAGGTCCTGCCTTTAGATAGTCTCCTTCCCAGGGCCCCAGAAGAGACGCTACCAACGGCAGCAATAATCTGCGGGAAGTGAGTCTGAGTACACCATGCTCTTATGTCCGTCCTTTAACTTTATTCCTTTAAGACAAAATTCTATCTACACAGCTTCAGTTCTGGTCTCACATTCAGCTCCTCTCTGTGATTTTTCTCCCTGTCCTCTCATTGTCCTAGATCGAAGCTCTTTTGCTCTCCACCTCATCTTAGAACTCTGATCCTCCATCCATTTTGTCCTTTTCTCTCCTACTCTCCTGATCCAACTCAATTCACCTGCAATCTACAAAAACTCTGCCTCTTCCTGGTCAGGTGGGGCAACCCTGCTGGGAGCTAGGAATTCTGCCTCAGTACTTCACTGCACCTGGTGTGCAAAAAACCCTTTTGCTCTAGAATGCCACTTGGTCTGTGAGAGGGGGAGGGTCTGAGCTTCATCTGCGCAAGAAACAAAGCTATGCACCTTGTCTCCAAGGCAGTGTCTCCAGAAGGATGTTTACCCCAATTCAGGAAACCTTTTGCCATCATGGCCTAGGATGCTTGAGAAGTATTTCAGATAAATACATTGTTAGGAGTTCTTGGAAGCATACACAGCATACAAGAAAATCATTGCAGGAACTGGCTAATATGTATACAAAAGCTAAAATATCACCCAGACTCTTTAAGCCATGGCTTGACCTTCAGAAAAGTCATTGGCCTTCCAAGTAGTAGCTTGTGTGACAGTAGCTGGATTCCATTCCATTTTCCTGCAGCTTGCAGAAAGAGAGAGTTGCCAAGAGAGCTTGAGAGCCCTAGGGAGAGGTGCAAAAGAGGAAGAAAACAGAAGGTGGGGCTGAGAGTTGATCAGAACACAAATGGAAGGGCACCAAGAGAGACTGATAGAGGGAGAGAGAGGGAGAGAGAAGGAGAGGAGAAAGAGACAGAAACAGAGAGAGAGAGAGAGAGAGAGAGAGAGAGAGAGAGACAGAGACAGAGACAGAGACAGAGACAGAGAGACAGAGAGAGTCAGTTGAAGCCTTGAGGGAAGGGCACCTGAGGGAGTTGGTCAGAGGCTTGAAAGAAGGACACCACTATGTCCAGAGACCTGAGGAAAGGGCACCAGGAGATGGTCAGGGATCAGAGCCTAGGAGCAGAGCTCCAATAGAAGGTCATCTGGAAGCAGAGGCACCAAGGTAGAGCTCCTGAGGGAGGAGCACCAGGAGAGTGCCAGGGTCTGAGGGGTGGCAACAATAAAGATTCACAGCCCTGCAGGGGGAATGCCAGGTGAGGGTTTTCAGTCTTGGGTGAATCACTCCAATGATGTGAGTGAAGGAATGATGCTCCAGAGCTTGGAGCCTGAAGGAAGGAGTGAAGGTACAGAGGCCCTTGTGTGGGGACAGTCTCCAGGATGGTCTCCAGAAAGAGGATGTTGCTCATCTTCCTCATACAGGCCCTTCTAGAACATTCCCCTGAGTACAGACAAGTCCAGTGGGGCCAGTGGCTGAGAGATGCTAGCAGAACTTGAGTAACTAACCTGGAACATTCCAGAAGGGCATATTAGATTCCAAGCAAGCATCCATGTTCCAGATATGAGATGATAAGATCCAGCCCAGTGGGACAATTCCATAAGGAAACCCCAGAGGATTCTGCAGGATGATTCTAGAATGGAAAAGCAAGAAGATGAGGAAAGGTTTCTAGCAAGGGTAGGATAACCTTAAATCCAATGTTAGGGTAGAGACCAGGTGGGAGGGGAGGATATGGACTATGCCCATGAGAGGAAGAAGGTCTAGAAGGGGGAAGATGGCAGACCCATCAGGACAGTTTTACAAGCGGGAAGCAGATTCTGAGTATGGAGCAGAGCAGGATGGAGGAGACAAGGACCTGAAGCTCCTGGGGTAGGAGCAGTAGGACAAGGTTGCCAAGGCCATGACCCGGGATGACTCCTCTGTGCCTTGATCCTCAGGACATGGACCTGGAGCAAGGAGCCTTGCCCTCACTGATGGACATGGCTCTCTTCACTTTCAGGTTCACCTGGTTAGAGATGATGCACCCCTTCTTCTTGATAATTCTCCTGGGACTCCCATGGGTGCACACCACTGTCAACAATACCAGTGGGTTGGACAACAGTACCAGTGGGTTAGACATGGTCATCAAACCTAGGCAAGGTCAGTATGATCTCAAGACTCCCAGTGTGTTGGATGGAAGGAAGCTCCACCTAGAGCTGAATAGGGTTATAAGAAGGCTTGTTTGGGATTGGGCTCACCAGAACCAGGTGGCATGAGTATTGTTAGGTTAACTTGAGACTCAAAGATACTCCTGAGATTGAACAGGTCTGAGGAGACTGAAGACTGCCACAGAGAGCTGCTGACTAGGAGACCCCAGGGAGCATCTGTCCATAGCACTTCCCAGCAGGGACAGCAGGTGCTGAGTCCAGAGAAACACTGGAGGATTGTGGTGTCCTGGGTGGTCACTGTTCCATGGAGGGATGGACTTCTTTGAAGTGCTCAGCTGTTTACATGTGGCCAGCCTTTTAGAAAAAGGAAAGGTTCCTAATGAGTCTGCTGCTATTCTGCTGATGGTCTGGCCTTGCCTTAGACTATGGCAGGATCTGAGCTCTTCAGGCATTGGGTGGCTTATACAGAGAACAGTATTGGGAAGCAGCTATGAGCAGAGGGGAGATGGGCGTATAATGGTGAAAAAACTTCTTGGGGGAAAAACCCAACAGTAGTTTTTTTTTTTCCATCTTCAGAAGTATTTCAATGCCATATGTGTGCAGCCACAAACACCTTCAATTGCCCATATATGTATACCTGTGAGGGTAATAACCGACGCTGTGCAATAATTGCCATACGTAAGTATCTGTATTCTGGTCATAGGGTGAGTAAGCCTACCTGCACAAGTTTGGGGGACAGGCTCAGTCTGTCCTCTCTGCAGCCAGATCCACCACTCTCCTGGCAGCTCCTTGAACTGAGAACCTGTTTACAGGTGCTGGGTTCAGCCCACTGATAGGGCAATGTATATCTGCTCATGGAGCCAAGAGCCTGTGGTTGATGGTAGGCTGACAGTCTACACATCCTGAGTATCCAGGGAATGAGACTACTGTGGCCCATCCATGACTTTGTCGCAGGGAGTCTCTCTATTCATATGGGCAGACACCTTGGTTCAGCTTTTGTGAATCTTTGCATACATGTTAGTTTCTGATTTTGTGCATTAGCATCCTGTATTAGTTACTTTCCATTGCTCTGATAAAACGGCCTGAACAAGAAAACATCTAAAATGAGGCATTTGATTGGGCTTCTGTCTTCAGAGGGTTGGAGTCTATAAGGGTGTAGGAAAGGCATGGTGGCAGGAACAGCTAAGAGCTCACACCTGGATTTACAAGCAGGAGACAGAACTAACTGTGAAAGGTGCTAGACTTTTGAAATCCCGAAGCCTGTCCTACACCCCCCCATGATACACCTCCAATATGGCCACACCTTCTGGTCCTTCCCAAATGGTTCTACCAACTGGGTAACAAATATTCAAACATATGAGCCCATGGGGGCCATTTTCATTCACATCACCATACACCCCAACTAGCCAGATTCAAGCAGTGAGATGCCCAGTTTATCAGGGTGATGCCTGCCATCTGAGATGGAAAAACTAGGGTTGAATCAGGGCACACAACAGGCAAAATAAATATTACTTACATGAGCAGTGATCTTTTGTGGAGGAGACAGGATAGATTGCAAAGAAGCTGTAATAATCTTCAGTCATGTACATCAAGTAACACATGATGAAAATAGCCACTGGGCTGAGGAATGGGCAGGGAATGGGATGGTATTTCTAAAATGTAGGCAATCAGGCAGCTCTGAAGTTCCCACTTAAATGCCCCCTGCCATGGTGTCTAGACTCAACAGCACAAAGGCTAAACTCATTACAGCTCTAGATGGAGGATAGAAGAACTTTGTCTGGAAAGAGCAGACAGCAATGGTCTTAATACTGCTGCCTCTGTCTAGGGGGAAGTAGCCCTAGTTAACACATCGCTGATTTGTTCCAACAGTGGTTTGTTTCCAGAGGCAGCTGAGGGACTGGACTTGCCCCTTAGGCTTTACTTTGCCAACATCCACCACAGGCAACCTGATAATACCATTAACAAATGGAAGTCACCATATGAGACCAAGGCAGAAACGGCCAAGTGCATACATTTTCCATGGTTCCCCACACGAGCTCATGGAATTAATGGAAGTATGTGATGTTGAGCATTGACAAGGTCCTCATAAATGGAGCTATGTGGAGTTATTTCTCCATCACAGTGCAATTGAGCTGTGAATTATTGTGAGGGAAGGACTTGCTGGCTCCTTGACAGGAAGGAACCTTTCTAAGCAGCCCAGTAGGCAGGGAGGCCACCTTGGAATGAGGAAATATTGGGAGTTGGATGATTTGTGAAGAGATGACTCATCAAAATTGAGTAGACATCCCTGACAGAGAGCTGAAGCTTAACTATGGATTGACACAGAGTTTATGTGGGGGAGGGGGCTGCTTGGGTCTTGATCACAAGGTCCTTCTGTTGTTGTACAGCAGACAAGTCTCAGGGCTGTGGATGGTAAAGCAGTCAGGGTGAGTCCCACATCAGAAGAACTAAATAATGGCTCAGGCTCCAAGGGGAACAAGCAGTAGCAAAGCCTCAAGCCTTCAGCCCAGGGATTCTGGCAGGGTGTTGCCAGTGGGGCTCACTTTACACAACTCCAGTTGGCTGAAACCAGAGCAGATGGCAGTCTCGTTCTCTATGGAGTCTTGCTTGGAATGGGCCATCTAGTCTGTGCTGGAGAACATGCCATCAAGGGTCCCTATGCTCTGTACATAGATGCCAAAGCTTGGAAAGCCAGGTGGGGGGTTAGGAAAGAATTTATCCTGAAGTCGTGAATGTGGGCACTTCTTTGTGCCCTTAATCCTCTCTGAAGTCTCAAAGAGCATAGCTTCTGGTCAGTGTTTCGTTCTAGACCTTGGTAACACTTAGGGTAATATTAGAACCAGAACTGAACAGGATATTTCATTTGCATAGCTGTGTGTCCTGAGACTAAAGTGTCAACTGGGGAGGGACAGTGACAGATGTAAAGATGGTAGCAATGCATAGAAAGGTAAGTGTAGAAGTTGGTACTGGAGCAATCAGGCCCTCTTGTGTACTTGTGTGATTTCTCTCAAGCATTCTTCACAATGTCTAGTTGTGAAATAATCATTTTGTACACTGTTTAAAAGTGTCACTCTGATTGGTGGAGTCACCAGCCAGAGGCAGAGAAAGCATGACATGTAGGATATGAGGTAAGAAGCCATGAGCCATGTAGCAGCAGGTAAATAATAGAAATGGTTTAAATTAAGTTATAAGAACTAGTTAGAAACAAGCCTAAGCTATCTGCTGAGCTTTCATAATTAATAAGTCTCCATGTGGTTTATTTGGGAGCTGGCTGGTGGGACAGAAATATCTGCCTACAATGTCTCAATTTAAGGTTATGGAGCCAGTTGTGGTTGACTGTGGTGGTGGATTTACAATGAAGATGTGAAGCTGGTAATTTTCCTCCTCTTTTCTTCTAGGTATGGACTCTCGTCAGCTCCTAGTCTACAAGAACTGTGTAGAGGAATGCTCGTTTGCACTTATTCAGCCTCCACCAACCCCTAGAAAGCTTCCACCAACCACTTACTTCTACTATACCCTGTGCTGCTCTGGTTATCTTTGCAATGAAGGAGGACCTTCTAATATAGAGAGGGACTTGTCACCCCCTGTTGTGATTGAGGAAGGGCTAATTGCAAGAGCTGTGTGTCGGGGCGAGTTCAACCTTCTCCTGAACATTTCCTTAATCCTCTCCAGCAGCATACTGATCTGAGAGCCCCTCCTTGGGGTAAACCCATCTTCCCACAGCTGAAAGCAACTTTGTTCTTTGTTGCTTCCTTGTGAAGCAGAGACTGTGTTCAGGGCATCTGATGGGCCCCTTCATAGCTTGTTGTAGGAAAGAAATAAAGACATTGTTGAAAATGTCCCTTGTTTTCTTGTTTTCTTGCTGTGTGAGAGCATTTAGCCTGGGTTCTCTACTCAGACAAGCTCGTTCCCCTTCTATATCCTTAGGAGTTCTTTTGTGGGATCATGGTTTCAGCTACTTGGCACCCTTTCAACACTGTAGGCTAAATACTCATCTCACTAGAAATAGCCAAAGCATTGGGCAGCCTTGGTTTATGAGTGTTTTGAACAGAAGTGTTCTGAGGTCAGTATGTAGGCTAATAAGTCAGGTCCCAGCTAAGCTGGGATGCCTAAGTCCTTGCCAGATCCTTTCAGTCCTCAGGTCAAGGGAGAAGGGAACAGGGAAGGTACCTGGCATGCAATGGCACCTGGACTGCTGGGCCTGACAGTCACCTCTGTGTTTTCCCTGTGCTGTGGGACAAATTCCTCTACAACTGACTTGTCTCTTCCACACCACCTGCTTTCAGTGAGGTGACAGGATATTATCCATGGCTAAGCACTGGCAGTCTCCACTAATTTTCAAATTTCTATTACATTTATATTTTATGTATATGTGTGCATGCATGTGGCCCTATTTGGGTGTGGGTTCTCTTCATGTCTAAAGTGCTCAGGAATAGTGCCAATGCATGCACACCAGCACAGCTACAGAGTATGGCAGGGAGAGGCAGAGAATCAGCGAGATAGATGGAGAGATTTGCCTGAAAGAATCGCCTCTGAAGGTGGAGGTGGTGCCTGGCACTTGGAAGACAGAGGCAGGTGGATCTCTGTGAGTTGGAGGTCAGCTTTGTCTACAGAACAAGTTCCAGGACAGCCAGAGTTACACAGAGAAACCCTGCCTCCAAATCAAAAAAAAAGAAAAAAAGAAAAAGAAAGAAAGAAAAAAAAAGGAATTGGCTCTGATAGGTCTGGCTCTTTTTAAACCTGTGGACCAGGGCATCAGGCTTGGGTTTAGGTCTGGTCTGACAAGGCAGCTGTGAGTTCAAATTCTTCAACCCACAGGCTAGAAGCACAGACTGTCTAGGTTGCAGTGTGCAGATGTGAATCTCATTTCAACGTTCCTCAGTCTTTGCTTACAAGGCCCTCAACAGACTGGGCTGAGGTACCCATAGTCAGGAAGTCTACAGATGTAAAGGTCAATCATATTTCCATGTTACCATTGCAAGAGCATTTTGACTGAGGTGCCTCACATGCTTAGTACCACACCTAAGTGGACATGCACAAAAACTATCTGTAATGATACAGTGGAGAGGCTTTGGTGGGTTTGGACCAAGGTGTCCTTCAACAGGTTGGCCACACCATGCAGACATGGCAGATGATGGCGTGATGGAGTGGAAAGTTACTCACACAGCAGACATGACATCTCCATGGATGATTTATTTTGGGGGGGATTGTACTGGTATTTGCTCCACCATGACCTTGAGGTATAGGGCCTGAAGGAGGAGGTGCTTCCTGCCATTGTATGTGACCTCTTAAAAGCAGAGGGAGAAGGGTCACATGCCCCTTTTCCAAGCTTCTGCCTAGGAGGCAGATTCGCTCCTGTTCAGATGTCTACTCTGTTCTATATTCACGAGTGTATTTCCTCAATTTACTTTAATAAATTTCCCTAATACTTCTTTAACAGACTCCTGTGGATTTATTGCTTTATCTGGTGCCCAACCACATGGATCTGAACCCCACACATCCCTACTGGGGTTACTCATGTGATCAAACCCTAAGGTATGTAGGTGGCTCCTGGTGAGTTTTCCCACCATGCAGAGCCTGCAGGAACCCCTGGGACCTGCATGACCTCTGCTCAGGTGACCATACGCATATAGTCATTGTGAGTGGAGCCTGTAGGCCAGGCAGCTCATGTGGCAGTGGTTCTCGTTACCACTGCCAGAAGCACAAGCGTTCTGCAGCCCATAAAGCACTGCATCAGAGAGAAAGGTGTCTATGCTAGGCACCTTTCTAGTTCCGTATTTGTAGTGGCCAGATTGGGTCACAGACCCCTACCTGGGTAGAGACTACCAGCAGACTGTTCCTTTACTTTTAAAACTGTTCCATGTAGCTGCTGTCAACTCCATCTTTTGAAATTCCCACTGCCACCACCACTTTGCGCGCAGCCACCACAGAGTGCATGTGTTGTACTCGTTTCTCGAAACCCCCAGAGACCACCAAGGAGCCGGTTTCCCATGCAAGCACATAAGGGTCCTTTTATTCAGGTTCAACCTGGGCCACCGCACAGCAGATGCAAGGAAATGTGGCGGCCCCCACGAGCCCAGGTGTAGAGAGTTTTTATAGGGAAAGACCAAAAGCCAGGAATTGGCAGCTTGGGATTGGGTAAAAGGAATATGGGGTGACGTGATTTTTTGAAACTATTGATCTAGACTTTGGGGCAAAACCACATTTGAAACCATTGGGTTAGACTTTTGGCGGGGAACTACAACCTGCTGAATAGGATTATCTGGACTGCTCAGCAGGGTTATCTAGATATCTTCAAGGGCCATAAACCACAAACAGGATGTCTGCAGGAGAATACTGCTCTGTATCCATTCAAGTTGCCATGGCACATTCCCAAGGTCCTTCCTGGAACCGAGTACAGCAGGTGGTCTGAGATGGTGGACCTTTCCCTAAAATGGAGCATGTAAAGTTAAGTCTAGGCCTTCACAGCACACACAGTCTGTCCTGCAGAGTGTCTGCAGGTGTCCCAGGCAGCACTTCTAATTGTTCATTTGGTGTATTGCCTCATCTGTTATGATCCCAGCAGCTCTGGCTGGTACTCAGAGGTACTAGGTGGGGCTTGCCTGGGTGACTGCTTAATTCACAGGAGCCCATTCAAGGATCCTGAGTCAGCTTGCACCTGACCTGTTTTGGTGTTACACCTGAGACACTTACTGGCCAAGCAATATACTACATCCAAAAACCAGCCATTCATCTAAGCTGATTAATTACACCTGGAACATCTGGACTCAAAAGATAATCTTTTGAGGATTTTTTGTAAGGAAATTATTTGATAATTTTACACTTTAAACTGATTAATAAATAAATTAATAAAAATTTTCTTTACACATTTTGAGTATTTCTCAAAAAGTGGCAGATAATTTCACCATTCAGGAATTTAAGACCTTTTTTTGCTTGTACTATGAATGAAATATTACAGGATATATATGACCTTCCTGGGATGTATATAATGTTCACCATAATAGCAATTAGCACAGTGATTCATCTCATATCATTGAAAAATTGGCTTAATAATAACAGCAAAAGTGAGACATTAATGGGACTGATAATGCTAATACAGAATGCAAAAGAATACTTACACCTTTAAAGTTCAGGTCAGCACCCTTAGAAGAATAGATTCAATATATAAATGGTGTTGAGTCTCTTAACTATGGTAATGAGACTTGTATAGAAGAGGCGATTTCCAAAGGTGAGAGGAAGCATCAAGGTAACAAATGTTTTAACTGTGGTACACCAGGTCATATAAGAAGAAATTGTACACAGGGTGCTCCTAGAAGCAATTCTTCTTATAGAAATAACCCAAAGAGAAGACCCCATCCTTCTGGATTATGCAGAAGATGTGGCAAAGTCTGACATTGGACCAATGAATGCAGATCAATAAGAGGCATACGAGGCAACCCTTTACCATGGGGAAGTGCCTCAGGGGGCCTCTTGTAGGCCCCCAAATCTAACATTGTCCTAACATTTCTAGTCACTGCAGAAGAAATTCCTCCTGAGGAAAATTAAATAACCCAGTGACTAATGTAAAGAACGATACTGCACTGGACGATACAGCAACTTTGATAGATGAGCCAAAAATACCATAAAATGAATATTTTGACAGATTTCCATAAATGAACAAAGACCAAAGCTTAAAGTGTGAATTAATAACATTGTCCTTGAAGAATTAGTGGACACAGGTGTGGATATGGCTGGAGTTATACCAAAATCATGGCATCCGAATTGGCCTCTTCAAGAGGTAGATGTCCAATTTCTAGGGATTGGAACCCTATCTCAGGTAAAGCAAAGTTTGAGATGGGTTCATTGCATAGGGCCAGAAGGACAAAGAGGAAGGCTGAAGCCATGTGTGGCAAATGTAGCAGTGAATCTTTGGGGCCGATATCTGTTATAGCAATGGAATACCCAGATTAAAATTCCTCCAATCTCAGGAGTAGAATATAGACCAATTCATGTTTCTTGGAATAATATTATAAGATACTATAAGAAACAGCCACCAACCATTCAGGCTGTACATAAGCAGAGCACAACTGCCATTGAACTCTCAGAATTACCAATGGCCCTATCTTTAAAATGGTTAACTGATAAGCCTGTCTGGGTTGGACAATGGCCTATGACACACAAGAGAAGCTACAAGCTTTAGAATAGCTGGTTCAGGAGCAGTTAAATGCTCAACACGTTGAAGAATCTACCATCCCTTGGGATTCTCATGTATTTGTTATTAAAAAGAAATCTGGTAATTGGAGAATGCTGACAGATCTGAGAGTCATAAATAAAGTAATACAGCCTATGAGCTCCTTACAAAATGGGATGCCCTTGTCCTCTCTGTTACCTAAAGAATAGCCTATTATAGTTATTGACTTAAAAGACTGTTTCTTCACTGTACCTATACGAGAAAAGAATAGAGAAAAATTTGACTTCATAGTACCTACTTATAATAATTCCCAGCCAGTCAAGAGATATCAATGGAAGGTCCTCCCACGGGGAATGTTAAATAGCCCTACTCTGTGCCAATATTTTGTGCAAAAACCATTGGAAATAATTCATGCAAAATTTCCACAGTCCATAATCTACCATTATATGGATGATATCTTATTAGCTGATCCAAAGTTAGGTACCTTAGAAGACATGTTTGAAGAAGTAAAGCAAGTT